TTAACACCATAGATAAACAATTAAGATGGTTATTAATTTGTAAATCAAGTTAAGTTCTATGTTGCAAAACACTTATTCTTGAACACTTTAAAAATTTAGTTTGTTTTAAATATTTGATCATTTGAAAAGCAATGCACTTAAATTTAATGACAATATTGAGTTAAAACTCAGTTAAAAATAAAGTATATTATCAAAAATAAATATAGTAGGCTGGGGATATAGCTCAGTGGCATAGTATCTGTCTGGCAAGCATGAGGTCCTGAGTTCAATTCCTGGTACCAATAAATAAATGAATAAATAAATAAATAAGTTATTTCTTAAATGAATTATTACCAAATGCAGAAAAGGTCACCGTCTCTCTTTTGGGTTATTAGCATATTAATATCCTTCCTAGAAATACAGAAACCAAATTGAATGTTTACATTCTCATTTTAATTTCAGAATATCTGATTTCAGGTTCTAACTCATCTACTTACTTGTGACCGTAGATTTATTTCTAAATTCACTTGAGCTTCACAGGAGTCACATAAATGCAAGCAATAAAATGGCACAGATTGTCATGGCTTCCCATGGGGTCACCTTTCCTCTGGGTAGCATTCCATTTAAAAAATGGTTTGCCTCACTTAAGCAGCTAGAGAGGTAGAGCTCATCGTCTATCTACCTGGTTAAGTCTATGATATCATAAAAAAGACTGCTAATTTTCAAAATTGTTTTTATCATGAAAGTGTATATGATTTTTCAGCTTTTTGTTCTATTAATAAGTCAACATCAAAGGGAGGAAAATGCAACTGTCAATAAGAAATACAAAGAAAATTATAAAGCATGCAGTATATAAAATGGTGCAGCTTTGAACAAGGCAATGTAGTACACGGCTATAATCCCAGCACTCTATAAGGCTGAGGTGTTTGAGCCCCTCCTGGACAACATAGCACTTAGCGAGACTCTGGTCACAAAATGAGAAATGAATAAATGAAAAAGGACTGAAGAATTCATTCAGTGCAAATGTCTTTTGTTTAATCTCAGTACTACACACACACACACACACACACACACACAAACACACACACACACACAGTATATATCTTGGTTACATTTCTCTTGTTGCTGAGACAAATCTCCTGATGCCTAAAGCTAGGGAAGAAAAGGTTTACCATATAGTGTACACTGATTCAAAACATACACAATCTTTTGAACAAACCTGCCTCAGGCCTGCAAGCTACTGCCATCTAGCTGGCATCTTCAAAAGATCATTTCATCTTTCTATCCATCCAGCACTTCTAAATGGTGAAGAACATGGCAACAGTGGTGAATTTCATGAGCTTGAGCCCATTGCTGTACCTTTCAGTCATAAAATATGTTTCTTGGTCAGAGGTAATGCTGTGTGGATTTCCATGATGGTAGATAAGGCATTCTGTGAGTGCACAATAGTAATTCTGGCAGAAGCATTACATGTATGGAAGGCAAATTCCCATACCCAGAATAAATGTCTATGCCAATAAGGGTGAACTGCTCTCCCTTATATGATGGAAGTGGTCCATATTATCAACCTGTTACCAGGGCACAAGTCGGTCCCTCTGAGCAAGGGACCATATCAAGGACTCCTTCTTTGTCTTTCATGATGGCATACGGGCATTCAGCAGTGCCTGTAGCCAGATCGGTCTTGGTGAGAGTGTATGTTGTTGAAACCATATATACCTTCCATCCCTGCCGCCATGGTCACTTTTATTCATAAGCCATTGGACAATGACATGGGTGGCTAAAGGAAGAGGTTGATTATCAACTTGATTATTAAAGTCTTCTTTTGCAGAGACCACTTTTTGGTGAGTATCATATGGGACACAGCATTTTTGCATCCCTTGTCCATATGGAGAGATTTATCTACATACCTCTTCCCCAAATATCTTTTGGTCACATTCCATCAATTTTCTGGTCACATTCTTTCCAATTCCTGACCATCCAGTCAGATTATTTGCTACAGCCCTTGACTCAATATATGGTTGTACATTTGCCCATTTTTCCTTCTAGGCAATATGGACTGCCAGGTGTCCTGTCTGAAATTCTTCCCACTGTGAAAATTTCACCACTGTTGTTCAGGGATGTCTTGCAATTTCTAAGAGACTACTCTACCACCCTAGTAAATGAGACAGCGTTTACCTCAAGAGGTTGTACTAAAAATTACACGAAGTAGTACGGTGGTTGATGTTCAACAAGTCTTATCTGCTAGTATATATAATTGTTGCTGGCAACTGTTAATGGTATTACCCAATGGTGGTAGAGTAAACCACCATTAAATTATTGCTCAGGGTTCGCATCACATTATGTCCTATAAAATTCAAATTTAGAGGGGCTGGGGATTTAGCTCAGTGGCATAAGCACCTGCCTTGCATGTGTGCGGTCGTGAGTTCGATCCCTAGTACCCATAAAAATGAAAAAGACAAAAAAAATTCAAATTTAGAATAAAAATTCTTCAGATTAGATTTTATGGTATACCTGTGGTGCAGTGTATGTATTCCTTAACAAAAATTACTCTCAGCAAAGGTCTCCAGGTGTTAGGATTTGTGTTTAGATGTACCTCTAAAGCCTCATATGATCAAAGGGCATTTTTGGAAGTGGCTGAATCTAGAATGCGTGATACTGGGTTTAAGGGTACATGATTAGTAAAGCAGATCATTGATTAATTTGGTACCGTTCTGGCTAGGATTAAGGGTGTGAGTTCCACATCCACTCTAGCGCAGTAGCCTACATACAATATAAGAGACAGAAATAGCCCCCCTCCCACCTAGCCTTGTTGCTTTGCTGTCTTCAACCACCATGCACTGCTGCCCCTTTGCCATGTGACACCCTGCCTTGGAACCAGCTGATGATGGACTGAACCATCTACAAATCTAAAAAAAAAGATTTCTCTCTTTTTATTTGGCTGTTGGGTATGTTGTCTCAGCAACAAGAAAAGAAACTAAGACACTGTGGAGATACCATGTTTTTATGTTTCACCCACCATTCCCATCTCCAATGATCTAAAGAAAATCTGAAGACTAAAACTCAGTGCTTCACTCTCAAGAGCATAGTCTATTTGTTGGAACAGTAGAAATGCTAACTAACAACTAGTGAGCGGGAATCATTCTTAGAGTCAAAGAAGATGCTCAGAAGAGGCAAAATAATAGAAGGTAAAAGTGGCCAAGGAATTTTTTTAAAAAGGCTGGATCTTTCAGATTGTATTGGGCTCAGTATGAGAGGAATACAGAAAAAGGGTAGGGGAGACACAACCAGAAGGAAAACAGGTAAAGTGAGTTCATTTTTAAGGGATGATGAGGAAGCAAGGAAGGAAGGAAGGAAAAGAAAGAGAAAGGAGGAGGAAGACAAAGGGAGGGAGAGAGGTTAGCCATCAAGCAGCAACCTCAATCCTAGTGAGCCTACCAGGATAGGATATTTTTAAACTCATGAGCAAGCTAACATCCGGCACAGTTTCACACACACACAAAGTACTTTGTGATCCTGATCAAAAATGTATTATGTAACTCACCAAAATGAAACAATCACCTTTGAACAACAATTCATGAATTATCAATACATGTTATGAAACACTCCTTCACTCCATAATCCATGTGACTATGTAATAGAATAGGCATATATTTTATTTATTTAGTGATGGAATGAATCAATCTAGGGCCTTGTGTAGAGAAGTATTGCACCATTGAGTTGCACTCTTAGTTATGAGAACACGCTTATACTTTTTAAATATGTATTGTATTGTTTTGTTCTGTTCTTGTAAGGTAGAAAGGTGTTTGTTTCCAAATGCTATGCAATTTCCATAGGGATCAACTAGAGTAACCACAGGAGTTTTATGACTTGAGAGGAAGATTAATATCTCAAAAGGGCTTAATTTCACATTTTATAATAATAGAAAGCTTTTGCTATATGATCGTTGAAATGTGAAGCAAATAGCAAAAACAAATCTCACAGAGCAAAATAAAATTACTCACATGTAGCATACCATATAAGTGAGTATTAGATTCAAAAGTGCAACTGAAATATTCCTGTGAGAACTTTAAGCTTTATATTCAGGTCAGTTTCCAAATTCAAACATTAGAATAAATCACTGTGGTTATTTCTGCATGCATCTTCCCAGACTGGCTTTTCTGCATCATTAGTGAAGAGTCCAAGGCAATGAAGTCATTTCGGTTCCCGATAAAACGTGAACTAACCACAGCTGTTCAGGTAGCTGGGGTCTTTGGCATTCAGATCAGGTGTTTTCCATCAACACGGCTACACTTCAGCGAAGCTCACGTGTGATAAAGCAGCAGTGGCCGCTGCAGCATGTTTTAAAGCAAGCTTTTTTGGAATTCTAACTATATTATTGAAATAAAATCACACAGCCACACACACAGACCTCCTTTTCATTGCCAGTTTTAACTTGCTAAAGAATAGAGATGTTTGAACCAGGTCTCATTAATAGTATTAATATTTATTTGGCTATTTTATTCCCTGAACACTGTCACTTTGTTATACTAAATTAAGGCTCTGACGGAAACATCCAATTAAGCCTCAGTAAGAAAATGGATTAGTATGTCACCGTTAATAAGCAGTTCAATGTAATCATACCTTGAGCATGCTTCTCAGAAGTTTTTAGTCCTGTGCAGTATGCTTGGAACCAGAATGTCTATAATTATTTTCCATAATGATTAATTGTATGTGAGAAAAATGCATAGTTGCCCTCCTTTCAGACGTATGAATAATCTATTTTCTTTTGAAAAGGACATGGAAGGAAACAATTACACAGGAAGAATTAGGGTGACTGTTGTTTAAAAAAAAGTCTGGGGACTCAGCGGTAATCAAAGGATACACCATTGAATCTAAACTGTTTCTCATGTTCCAAGTCTGCTCTCTGGCAGGAAGTGAGGCTTCCCTGTGTCAAGTCAAAAGCCTATAACAAACTCCTCTGGGCAATGTACTGTCTGTGGGAGTTCACTGTCAACTCAGAAGCCTGGGAGCCAAGTTCCTACCTTAATGAGAATCCGAATGGACCCTGTAGCTTTTGCAGATATGAAATACCAGAAGGTCATGGTGCAGGTAGCACTGGATTCTTGCCACGTGGTGCTCTGAAAGTGAGCTCTGTCACCCCGCAGGCCCATAGGTGTAGTCTCCAGATACATGAAGTGCCCTAAAAGCAAAGGTGGGATTCAGATAAAAACTTTAGCGACAATGAGCGAATTATTTTAGCTTTTCCATCTTAGTTAGGGTTTTTGATTACATTTCATATGATCTGAGATCCCCAAGGCATTTTCATTTGAAATAGAGAGTAAATCTAATAGCCTTTTCTCTAGTTCACTGACAGACAATTTCCTACAGTCTTTGCTTTTAGCAAAGGGCTTCACAGTATGCAGATGAATGATCTACCAGGACATTTATGCTATCAAATCAACAAGGTAGTTACAATTATTTAACATATCCTCTAAACTACCTGGATACTGTAAAACAATTGCAAAGTTTCCTTGTGAAATCTAAATAAAGGAACAGGATATGTTTTTAAATATTTAGTCACCTGTTGAATATGTAAATAGAATAGAATATATATGAAACACAAGAGGAATCACACTGTATTTTATACATGTGCATAAAAATTTTGAAGGTCTTTCTGGAATGCGTAACTGAGTGCTTGAATGGGACTTAGGACTCCCATCCCCTTAGTTTGGTGAGCCTGATTTAGTCAGATTTGTATTATAGGACCATGGAATTTCATTAGCTATTTTTTTCCCTCTTATGTAACATCCACAATTCAAGGTCTCTTCTCCATATTGCTTATTTCCTTTGTTCCTGAAGCAATGAGTTTAAGGCCACTTATAAAAAGAATCCATGCACAAGACTCCTAAAACATGCTGTTTTGCAGTCACATTTTCATAGCATCTCAATCGATTTGAATTTCCTTTCCCTTCATCTATATCATCTCACTTGTATCCACAACCCTGTTGGACACACAGGTCAAACTTTATGATTTCCTTGGACAAATGAAAAATCTGAGATTTTAGAAACTTGAATGATATGGTAACGTTCAAATGAGTGTCAGAACTCAAGGTTATTGGTTATAAATGTGGGCCTTATGTGGCTGCCTGTATTATCATCTAACTATAATTATTAAAATAGTTGTTAATGTTAGATTTTCACTGTTGTGAAGACTTAACCCTCAGACCTTATGAATATGCATTTATTTGGTAATAGGGTCTCTTTCTGACAATGAAGTTAAAATGAGATCATAAGGGTAAAAAAACTCTACACCAGTATGACTGTGTCCTAGGAAAAAGGAGGAGTTCAGGACAAGTAAAAGACATCTACAAATAAAAGACAATGGGGAGGCACAGAGGGCACCACCACCTACAAGTCAAGAACACCCGAGGTTACTAGAACCTAGGAGAAGGTGTGGAAGAGATAATTTACTCTCACGAAAGGAACTGACCTGCCAGCAGCTTGACTTTAGATTTGCAGCCTTCAAAACTATTTTTTTAGGAAATCAAAATATGACCTTTGTAACAGCAGACTTAGGAAATAAACACACCAACTTGCAGCATCCTGTGGTGGTCTCCCTTGTTGTTGTCAGGGAACACAATGAGAGGAGTCTTGGGAATATGATTATGGCAACTGTAGCAACCTGATTACCCACCATTTTCATTTCCAAGTGTGTGGTCTTTGGGAGGTCGTAGGCTTTGATGAGAGCCAACCCCCAAAATCCAATCAAAATTGTCAGCCAAGGAGTTCTGCCAACCACACCAGCCTTTCTCAAAAGTACAGGAGCCACCACATTCATTTTCATCAGTATTATCTCCACAGTCATCTACAAAATTACAGCTTTGTTCCAGTCTGTAGCATTTGCCATTCTGACATTCCCGATGGCCAGGCAGGCAGTAACCTAAATCAAAAAGTAAAAATCAAAACAAAGTGAAGAAATATTCCTGGCACATTCAGTGAGGTCAAAAGGCATTAAAAACAGATTCACTTTACTGTATAAAAGGACACAGTGTTCTTAAGAATTTGAGGTTCCTGACCCCTATTTTTGTCTTCTTAACCAGCTATAGAGTTCTGGCCCATAGATCATTCACAAATTTTAAAAAGTACCTTTTTACTGATTTAGGAATGTATCCCATGATTTCCCAAACTTCATTTAACAACATAAATTACATGGAAAATTCAAAGTGAAGCATTCTAATTTTTTACTCAGAAATAAAATCTTTAAGGTGCTAACTAAGTACATTTTATGGAGTATTTGGAGGTTTGTTCTGTTAGCATCCATTCATGCCAATATGTATCAGAATTCAAATATATATGCTACTCCCACCAGCAGAGTCAAGCATCTATAACAAATATAAGACTTTTTTAAGATATCTTTCTCCCAAATGCATGTTTGTTTGTCCTTGTTTGGAATTTTAGAAACAATTTCCCTGCAAAGCAATGCCAATCTGCTTGCAAAGCATAACAGAAAGACCAATGCCTTCAGAGACCTGATTTTGATATCTGGGGCTCATATGTATTAGTTCTATAACCTGAAATTTATTGACACTAGATGAACTTCATTTTCTCTATCCACAGAGAGAAAAATCAAAATTCTAGAGAAATTAAAGCAATTCAAGAGTCTATTACATAGGAGTGTCAAAGACTGAGCCTTGTCTTTAATAGATAACCAATAAATATTAATTAAATGATACATGCAATAATGTGCTTCAGAAATGATAAAGCAGTTCAATATGAACTATCCAATATTACAAAAATGCATAACCATTTTAATTATAGTATTGCAGAAAAAAAAGACTATCCAGAAATCCAACATTAGCTTCACCTTTGATCTCTGACATTGTAGGATCAGAAACTGTCCTTTTTTTCCCCAGTTGTAGGGAGGGAGCTGATAACATCACTCCTTTTTTATGTCTAGGATGGTAGCTTCCATGGCCAGAGGCAAGTTTCTTGGTGGTTGAAGTTTGGTATGTATTACAGATGGTTGGTTGTATTCCAAAAATTTACTATAAGATGATCCGGAAATTCCTACTGATAATGTTTGCTATTGTTTGGAACTCCAAAAACCTATGTTTCAAAGGATTTGAGCATTTCAGGCAAGCTTTTGAAGGGGACCGTGAGACCCTACAGCCACCTTCATTCTTGTCTTTCTCTTCTGGCCATTGGATCACCAGTTTGCTACACCATGCCTTTCTACCAGGATGCACTGCCTCAACACAGGCTTAAAACCAAAGGGGTCACCTGATCATGGACTGAAAACTTCAAAATCTTGAGCCTAAATACTTTTTCTCTTTGTAAGTTGACTGTTTTAGGTATTTTTTGTAGTACCCAAAGGGTAACACACCCTCATACAGAAGCTCTTGAGTTCTGGGTAAGTATTAACTTTTATACAGTAGATTGATAGAAGGAAAGTGGTAGGAGAATACCCTGGGGAGAAATCTGACCGCTTCTTGCCCTGTGAGTGCTTGGACATTGTTCCACTATTTCTTGATGTTGCCTAATTTAAAGGTCTTTCCACTTATAAAGCCAGGGAAGGTAAGTTTCAACTGTGCATTCTGCCTTTACCAAAACTTTTTTGTCTGGGTCAACCGTCAACATTTTTTCTTTCTTGCAGTGTGAGATTAAATTGTTTACTAGACGCCCACTTCATTTTAGTAGATCAGGGGTAAGACAAAAGACTAATGTTGCAATCATACAGTTTGACTCAGAATAGTAACATGAAACATTTTTCAACTACAAAAAAATGGAGATTATTTATAGAAACTCATAGATAAGAAAAGTGAAGATTATATATGCTAAATAACTTGCAGGTTTTTAAAAAACAAAGGTGCAATTTAGATTTAGGTCTCTTGTCTTCTGAATTATTTTGAATCCATAGCTTTAAAAGAAGAGAAATGACATCAGGCTCGAATCTGAAGGCATAATAAATATCACTGAGGACCAGTAAAGGTGAAGTTGGCCACCAGATGCATTAGTGGTCAAAGGGCTGTTGAGAACCTAAGGAATTACTATTTATTTCATTTTATGTAAGTTGGCATTTTTATTGATTCTGTCAATTCCAATTTGTTTAGAGAGGAAAAACAAAACAGACTCTTAAGATATTTTCTTTAAAGAGACTAAATCAAAATGCAACGCAATTCTTTCAAAATGCAAGAAGAAAATACTTTTGGACAGGTTTCTAAACAGAAGTGCATTATACATTCCAATATATTGCACAAGTCAATATGTCTAATATTTAGGATAGCAATAAAGTTTTATAATTACAAAATAAAAAGCTACCTTAAGAAAAATACATGCAAATTTAAACATCACAAACTAATTAGAACTAATTTCTTTACATTAAGAGAGAAAACCTCGTTGCTATAATGTTTTGTAATCATGAAAAAATACAGAGTGCATACATACTTTTTGGGGGGTTAAGGAAAATTACAAAGTAATATTATTTGCATATGTTTGAATTACTTTTCATGACTTTTATCTTTAAAAGTGAACTATTAGGAGTTCATCATATATCTTTAAGTAATTTTGGCATTAAAACTTTTAAGAAATTGTATAGTTTTGATTTTTAAAAATATTACATAAATCAGATACCAATCAGCATGTTTGCAAATTTTATTTTGTATAAAATGACAAATTATAAAAGTTGAAACCCTGAATGCGTATCTTGGAAGTACCTGAAAGTTAATATTTCTAATATGAAGACTTACTCTTCCCCACCAAAGTTTCCCATTGTTCCATCTTCTCCATCTCCGTCTCTACTCACAGCTTTCCAGGTCTGGTAACTTAGGGAAGAAATCTCGTAAAAAATATTGTGTAGTTCAGATTTATCTCTTTACTTTTGATCTCATTATTGACAGACTTTAAAGTTCACTCCTTTCCTTTTCGTTCTGCATATTTTGGAAAGTTGATTAGAAAGCCAGAGCATTCCTCACTTTCAGATGCAGGTCAGTGTCATGTCTATGGGTTATCATTAAGTTCAAGGAGCTGACAGCCAAGTTTTCTTGAGAAAATGGCCTATTTAAAAGATCAGCGATGAGTCAGTGTGTGTGTGTGTGTGTGTGTGTGTGTGTGTGTGTGTGTCTGTGGTTGTGCCAAAAATTGAGAAAGTTCTAAGAAAACACAGTGGTCTTTTGATAAAAATTTTAAAGAGCTAGCTTTCAGCAAAACTTACTAGCCAAATAAGACAAAATTTGCACATCGTACTAAATAAAGACAGACCTTTTACTTTCAGCTTTGATAGAATTAAAGATACAAAAGTTATTCTTCAGTTATAAGCAACTAGAACCCTGAAAAAAACATACTAAACAATTATTTTTAGGCAGCGAACAATAGGAAACACATGGTTGTGACCCCTTAGAGAAAGGACAAAAGGTCATTTCCTATCATCACCCCAGAGATCTCCTGAGAAGCACTTTCCATACTAAAGCTGTTAAATGGTAATAAAAGCAGGCAATGGAGGTCTTGGGAAGCAGAGGAGGCAGAGGCTGGGCCAACTAGAATTCACAAAGCACAATGTCGGATAAAAGGGAACTATGAAGAAGATTCAGAGATACGCTTAAGTTTTTGGCTCAATTTAAATTTGCACATTTGTCAGGCAAAATCTACAAAGGAGACAGAACAACTTCCAAGAAAGCAGTAAGTAGGAGTTAGAAACTGAAACATTTCCAGGGGTCAGAGATCTGGTCTTCTTTGCGATTCTATCAGCCAGAAGGAGAGTCCTTTATAAATACTCAAGGGATTCAGTAGAAACTCCAGAAAAGCTGCACTTCAAGAGTGGAGGAAAGTAGCTAGAGAAAGTATTCATTTGACTACATATTGGCAAACTACAATCCCCAGATTAATCCCAGCTGATCACTTGCTTAAGCAAATAAATTTTGGGGGTTACTTGGCTGTGTACACTTGTTTAACTGTCAGAGTAGAAAATCTGACTGCCATTGTGGACTAATTGAAGTTACAACCAAGACTACATGGTTTGTCAAGAGGATTCACTCTCTAGAAATTTACCGAATAAAATTTTCTGATTTCTGTTAGACATCTACCATGAGAAAAGCTTTAAACATAGCTTCAAAGAGACAAAAGAGAACTGAAAGCAAGTTAACTGCCTTTAAGGACAAAGCTCCCCCCCCCCTTTTTTTTTAAGGAATACAATGAAATTCAGTGCTCAGCAGCACAGAATTCAAAGCCAGGGAAGAAGCAGTAAGATGTGATCCATACCCGGGAGAAAAATGTGGAAGCAAACATGGATGCACCAGGGAGCTGAGGGTGATGGGTGGCTGGGAAATACTGGTCAAACGAAATACAAATTTTATTTAGGAGGAATAGGTTCAAGAGTCGTGACAACTATAAATAAAAATAAAATACCATATTCTTGAACATGGCTATAGGAGATTTGAAAGCCTTAAAGTCTTTCTCAAAATCTCAAAGTTTGAGAGTTGAGGTGCCACAGTATAAGCCTTTAACAGAAATAGTATTTTTTTTCCAAATATTTTGATCTACTGTTGGCTAATTCTGAGAAACAATGCAAAACCTGTAGATCTGAAGGGCTACCACATGGTGTATATTCTTTTAGATGCGTCTTAAAGGAGGTAAAGAAAATTACACAGAGAATGTCTTCAGGGAAAGGTGAGCTAAGAATGGTATCTATAAATTAGATGATAACCTGTCAGTGTCTTATTTCCTAATTTGATAATTCATAATTCTTTGTCTTAGGAATCAGACTGAATTATTTAGGTTAAATATGCATGAAAAATATATAGTTTAAAATAGTTTAGAAAATGTCAAATTTTACATGAAAAGCTAAAGTAAAAATGATGATCTGTGAGTCTATGTATAATGTATTCATAGTATTCTTGAATGTCTTGAAACATTTCTGCAATTTCAAAATTTGATTTATTAAAAATT